CCTCCTTCCATCACTTTCAAGGATGAAGCCTCCTGGTGACAGGAATTGCAGCCATGTCCCTGCCACTTCCCATTATTCACCTTCACTCAAATTTGACACAGCACAAATCCAATCTAGGGAGCTTTACATGATTTCAGGGTAGCAGGCAGGCAGGGTGCCATGGATGGACCAGACCCAGGTGGGTCATTTCATCCCAGCTAAAATTATGGACAGTCAGATGGAGAGTTAGAATAGTCACAGAACTGAAGATCTGGGGGAATTTTTGCTTTCTTTTACACAGATTTTTTTAAGTGCCCCATCAGCTGAAGCAGCATTTAATAAGAAATAAATTGTGGCTGCCCCATCTTGGAAGTGTTCAATAAAAGGTTGGGAGAAACCTGGCCTAGTGGAAGGTGGTTGGAACAACATGATCATGAAGGTCCTTTCCAAGTCAAACTATTCCATGATTCTCTGACCCTTTTAGAATCTCACTGTATCTTAAAACCATAAGGAGAGGACTAAGGCACAGAAATAAGGTTTAGTTTTGGGATGTATTTCCCTCCTCACCCCACCTGTGGATCTCAGGCTCATTTCACCTGTATCTCCTTTCAGGCTGGCTATGATCATCACCATCCAGGTGCTGCAGCTCCACTTTTCCCAGTTTTTGCAGAGATTTCATAATTTCCATCTTCAGAAATGCTTTTCCTCAGTGACGGGTGAGGTAGTGACCAGGCTGACCAAAAACCCAAATTAAAGGCTGCTTGTTAAACAAAGCTGGTGTCTGCCAGTGGGGAAGGCTCCCAAATTCTGGGTTTATCCCCCCAAACTGGTGGCATTTGCTTGGATCAGGGTGATTGGTTCTCATTTGGTTGCAATTCCTGGCTGGCTGGCAGGCTGCAGGTGGAGAGAAGCCAAGTTTTCTCTGGAGATGACAGTTTGCTAACAGATGTCTGATGTTTCCCAACACGGTTAGGATGGGAATCAGGAGCTACTTCAGCAGAGCTGAGCAGTTGGGTAATTGCAAACCTTTGCTCCTCACATTTTCTAGTTTATCAGCTGCCTGGGTAACAAGATTATTTAATTATTTTATTGTTGTTCATAGTTTTAGGAGACAAAGCTTGAAATATCTCTCAGAGCAATCACCATCCTAGGAGGCAGTGGCTCATTTAAATGCTGGGAAACCTCTGGGAGTGTGAGGAGCCACAGGATTTCCTCTCCCCTTGGGCACAGCATTGCCCAGACATCTGGGCTGTGGCTCCTGCACTGTGATTTCAAATGATTGGGATATTGGAAGGTGGAATTGCCTCCTGAGCCCCCTGATTGCTCTGATGTCTTGTATGTGGTGCCTGTCCCTGCCCAAGAGGAGGCTGAGGCCAGACAGCTCCTCAGGAACAGGTATTTTATTTGGAGGCAGGGAAAGCAGTGGTATTCCTGAGCCCCAGCTCTTCCAGAGGAGCTTTCAGGAGGTTTCTGCCATTCAGATTCACAGGAAATCTGGGAGAAGAGCTTGGAGGCTCTCCAGGATGCTCCTGCCTAACTCAGAGCTGACATCTCCTGCGCTGCTCTCTGAGGTCCCACTCTGCTGTCACCTTCAGGAGTGGGCTGTGAGCCCTGCCAAGGGTGGGCTAGTGTCAGTGGGTGACAAAAACCTGCTTCAATAAGCAAAAAGTTCCATGAGGAGCACACTGGGAGTTGATTCCTGGTGTCCCACCAGCTCCTGTGAAAAGCTCAGCCTTCATTTTAAAAGCTCTTTAATAAAGAACAGAGTGTTTATTGCTTTTGGATCACACCTTCCCTGGATCTTTTCTTTTTGTGCACTTCCAGCTAGGATTTTCCAGGCATTTTGACCTGGGGTGAGCAGCACAATTACCAAAATATCCAGGGAAAGGCTCTTTCTTAATTACAGCTAATTCCACTGGAGACAAACAAGCCCAGAAATCCCAGTGCAGGAAGTTCAGGCCTCGTGTGTGCACAGCTCCAGTGTGTGCCTGTGATGCCACTTGTGCCTCCAAGGTGTCTTTCCAGCACTCCTCCCATCAATTAATTCAGGAATTTGAACTCTTCCAGAGTCAGACAAGCATTTGATTATTTGGAAAATCTCCAAGCACTGGCATAAGGCTGGGATTTACAATAAAACTGCCTTTCTGATTAGAGAGGAATGGCATGAGGCATGAGGTTGTGGCATCTCCAAGGTGGAGAAAAGCACCCTGCCCTGGCACAGGTGGATTTGTTCCACAAAGGGGTGAGTTATTCCCACCTCATCCTGCACAAGTGGGGTCAAACTGTCCCTACTCTCATCCCACCTCTGTTCTGGGGCACAGCTGGGTGCACACAATGCTGTGCCCTGGGCTCTGGGATGGCCCTGCTGGAGCAGGGAGGGGACACCAGGTGTGGTCCCTTCCAGCCTGAGCCGCCCTGTGAATATCCCAAACATTCCTGACTTGCAGATTCTTTATGCTGATCCAGAACTGAACATTTTCCTACAGAAAAAGATCAATTATTTATTATTATTATTATTATTATTATTATTATTATTATTATTATTATTATTATTCTACAGAAGCTGCCTTCTGTATTCCTTAGCACTGCCCTCCCAGTGCCTCTTTACTTTGGGAGGTAAAAATCAAACACCACAGATGTTTTTTACCATCGTTCTCTCGAGTGAGGAGCTCACACTGCAGAACCTTGGGAGCTTCTGTTCAGGGAGAAGCACGCTCAGCTTCAGGAATTTGGAAGGAATTCTAAAACTCCATGATGAGGATCATGCCCCTGGGTTCTGATTTAGCTTGGGAATATTTGTATTTTCATCCTTTTTCTGAAGATATTTATCCTTTAGCTTAGCAGGTTTGGAATGCATAGCAACTTAATTTATAGGAATGCATAGCAACTTAATTTATATGTGTTTAAGTGGACTTGGACTTTTGTAGCTGGGAATAAAACAGAATTCCAGTGGGACTGTTGTTTGTGGGCATGGGAAGGGCTTGTTTGCTTGGGTTTACCTGTGTTTTGATTTCACTGCATATTTTTGGCATTTCTTTTAGGGTTTAGATATTTGTTGCACTATATTTAGGAAAAAAATGCATCCAATGTGCCTCATCTGCTTTGCTGCACTTGTGTGTTCTCACTACATCCAAGGAGTGTGGCAGAGGGAATTAGCCAAGGGATTTCCCAAAGCAATCCCAAGAATGCAGCAAGTATTTTTCTAAGCAAAATAATACAGGTTTTTTTGACATGTTCCAATGCAAATCCAGAAGATTTCAGCTTCCTTACCCAGGAAGATTTCCCTGCCCATGGCAGGGAGGTTGAAATCAGGTGGTCTTGAAGGTCCCCCAAACCATGGTGTGACCCTGGCCCTGAAATTTTACCTCTATTTGTGAGTTGGCAGGAAATTTTCCACGCTGGGATTTCATCTTCCTGGCAATTAGAAATCATTAAAGGTACTCAAATGCTCTGTCCATTCATCATGGCAAGGAGAGGCACTCACTGCTCTGTCAGCCTGAAATGATGGCTCTGCTGTGCTTTGAAAGGGGACATTTCAATCCTTTTTTAGTGCCAGCTCAGCGTTCACCTCGTGATGAGCACGGAGGGATCAATGAGCAGCTGTGGCACACAAGGTTATCCCAAGTTCACAGCAGGCTCCCAGCTGATTGGCTTCCAAAGTCAGATGCATCAGGAGCAAGGTCACCAACAGGATCTGGTGACAGCATAAAAAACAAAGCAGAGCTGAAGTCATTTGTTGACAGCATCCCCTGGGAGAAAATTGTGTTTTATTGCCTCAGATTTGGGGCTTTGTGATGTGACCTTTCACACTGTTGGACTCTTATTTTTACATTTCCCTTTTCACTTGGAAAATGATGGAGTTTTTCTCTCTCTCTCTCCCATTGGCATTGAGGTTTTAAATAGAGCAGAGGAGGTGGTTTGAAGTGAATCTGTTAATGCAATAATCAGGGTGGGAATGTCCCAAAGCTGGCCAGGTGGCCATGGGAGTGGGATGGTGGCTCATCTTCCCACCGCTGTTATCCTGCATGAGCAAAGCCTCCAGTGATTATTCCCTACTGTTAATTGCAAGTTATTCCAGCTGAAATAAAGCCTTGCACCTTCCAAGCCTCCCTCCATAATCCAGCCAACTCTTTTCCCATAAAGTCACCCACAGTCAGAGGTCGGACACGCCCAGGGACTCTCCGGCAGACAAATGTCACATTTTATGGAGGGGGTGGATCCTGCTCATCCATTTCCCCTCCAAGCCTTTCTAAAAATACCCTAAACCTTAACAAGGAGCTATTTTGGGGGAATTATGGTCATGGATAGGCATGGGAAGCTGATTCTGGCAGGCTTGCTCGGGTTGGAGTTGCGTGTTCCTTACTCGAGCGCGTGGTGTTGTGGGGATAAACAGAGAACATCAGGATTTTGGGACCTCCTGGCTTGGGATGGCTGCTCTGAGTGGGTTTATAGGAGGAGAACAAATGAAGATATCCTTATAGGAATGTTGATCTCTGCCTGAAGTCATTCATTTCAGGCATTTGCAGTTTATCAGATCTGATTTCATAAAACCTGGCTGGGATTTCTCTCCAGGGACCTTTAGTGATCCTGCCACTTCCAATAAACATTTATAGAAACTGCTGCCAGCCTGTGGATATGAGAAACTCCTAGGAGAGACTTCTGTCTTCCAAAAATCCTTAAAGACACCAAAATATTTACAAGCAAACCTCACCCAGGAGAAGATGGATAGAAAATGCCCAGCCTTGGGAGCTGCATTGCGGTGCCAGGCGTTGGCTTTGCACCCTCAGTAGGGATGTTTGCTATGGAAAAAAAACCCAATTAAATTGGAAAATTTGGAAAACTGTGCCCTCTGGAGCCATGCTGGGATTGGGAGCAGCAGAAAAGTGAATTTTGAGAGCTGAGATGGAAGTGCAGCAGGTAAAGGCTGGCCCAGGCTCCCACAGCTCGGGGGCGGCGGCGGCGCGCGCTGCTCAGGTTTGCACCTCTAAGAAATTTCCGTTTTTTCGCCTCAAAACCTCCAGATATGAAGCCGAAGCTGCCTTCTTTGCCAACCTGAAACTGTCAGATTTCAACATCATCGACACCCTGGGAGTCGGAGGCTTCGGGAGAGTGGAGCTGGTAGGTGACCTCTTCTTCTTTGTGCGACATCCTCATGCAATTGCCGTGTTAAAAGCTTAATTTTCTTTGTTATCACACCCCAATAACCCCGAGAAAAATGATCTGCTGGGATGCTCTAGTGAAGAAAGGTGCCTTACGTTTCCTGAGACATAAAAAATGTACCAATAAATGGTTTGCAGTAGGCGAGGAGGATTTATGTCCTAGGCTGAGTGAGGAGCACACATCTCCTCTCTCTTTTAAGTGGTTTATGGCATTGATTTATGGCCTTTTAAAAACAACCTGGAGAATTGGGTGAGTGCTGGGATTGGAAGAGCAACCTAAAATCTTATTTAACCAGATTCAGAGTAACAGTAGAAAGCCTCTCCCACACGTTTTTTATTCAGTTCTAGAGTGGTTGCACTTGGTTGTCCTCAAAGCTGAACACTCAGCACCTGACCCATGACAACATACCCCAAAGAGGGCCTGGTTTTGTGCAGAAAAGACAAAATCCAAGCCTGCTTTTTGTTCTGCTTGGAGCTTTGGAGCTCTGTGGTCTCCTTTAAAGCACAACCAGAGCCAGAGGGGAGCTGTTTGCAGCACCAAGGCAACACAAAACCTTGGAGTAGGAAGAGGGAGTTGGGTTACACCAGGAGGAGCTCCGGACACCAGACACTGGTGCAGAATGTCAGGAACTCGGCAAGCCCGGGCACAAGGGGAACAGAGTCACTGTTGCCACCACAAAACCTCAGGGAAGCCTCCACTCCATAACCCTGTGGGAGCTGAAGAATAATAAAATGGGGCAAAACTGGGTGGTTTTGGTGGTTATTTGTGATGTAAAGAGGAGATTTGGTGTGCAAAGCCCAGCTTGCTCTTCCCTGTGGTTTATTCCTGACTTTTCCTGGCTGGATGTGAAACCCTGTGGAGGAAAGAACATCTGTGGGCCCTTCCTGGGGTTTGGGGTTTAATCTGTGATTATTTTGTTCATGAATATTTAATTTATGAGTATTTTGAAGGAGTCACCTGCTGAGGATGCTTCAGAGCAGGAGGTTGCGCTCAGCCTCTCTTTTGAAGTCCCTCCCTCCTCTCCTGACACCAGGGATTTGCCCCCTAAATTAACATCTGGCTTCTCCAGCCTGTAATGAGGGACCCACCAGTCTGGGGCTTGGTTTGAGCCTTGGGAAGCTTTTGGGTTCACTTTGAATGGGTTTTGCCCACCTCAAAAACTTGGGAGGTGCATGAGTTTGTGTCCATGAGGGGCTGCTGGTGGGACCCTCACCAGTGGCCATGGCCAGGTGGCATGGACAGCCTTAAAGTGACAAAAACTCTACCCTGGTGATGTGAGACCCTGGCCTAGGTGAGAGGAAGAACAGGAGATGCTCTGTCCCTTCAAGGTGTCAGCTCGAGTAGAAATATTCCATTCTGAGCAGATATTCACACCTCAAAAGCCTCCAAGAAACCCTGGAGACACCTGAGGTGGGAAAAACATTCCCAGAGGTTTTCTTCCAGAGGCAGCTGCCCCTCTCCTGAGCAGGAAGATGCTGGATAAATTCATTTTTTGTAGCACTGAACTGCACACAGATAAAACATATTTAAAAGTGTAGCTCAGCACACCAGATTTTGTTCTTTTTCTTTACCACAGAAGGAAATTTTGTTACAAAGCCAAGGAAATATTCCTTTTGTCAAAACTGAGCCTGGAATTGCTGCCTCATGCTTCCACCTCCTCCATTAAAAATACGGTTTATTGCTTTGGGCTAAAAATGTGAACTATATCAGAGGAATCAGCTCTTTTATTGCCTGAATATGGAAGTGCAGGAATGTTCCTGGAAAACATTCACACTTTTTGTGCTTTCCAGGAGTAAAATGGATCAAAAAAAGTGAAGGATGTGGCAAGGAAAAGGGATTTTATAGCTTTGGGCATGGAGCCTCAGAACGTCACCACTGGAGAGGGCAACTGGAATGTCTGGGGCTGGGATTGGCCAAGAATAAATAACATTCCACGGATGTGGCTTTCCAGACACCTCTGGGAATGCTGGTGCCTTGGAGAGGTCACCCTTTCCATGCATCCATGCACAAGGATAAGGCTTTTAGGTCAGACGGCCTAAAATAGAAGTTATTTTCAATTCCACAGATATTACACATGGAAATTCCCTTTTGTCTTGATTTTCCAGGCTGTTTTGTTTCCTGTATCTCAGGAAAAAAATTCCAAAGCTTTGGAATGAGTGGGTTTTTGTTCAGGTTTTTGGTGGCTCTTCCAACATCCTTATGGATGCTCCTTTCATCCCAAGCTGGGCTATGCAATCAACTTTTATCTAAGTTTTTCTTGAGGGATAAATCATCCAGCGTTGGAGGAACCACAGCAAATGGCAGGAGAGGACTTTTTGGGATTCTTACAGCTCAGCCTCCCTGCTTTATGTCAGCTGAGCATCTTCTGAGGTGGGATCCAGGATTAACATCAGGAAAATAGGAATTTCAAGTGCCACTGGCATAGGGAATGTCACCTCATGTGACAGGGATGGAGGGCAGGTGTCCCCAGCCCTCAGAAATCATCTCTGCTCACCTTTATTGCTCTTGGCTTTGTTCTTTAATTTCCTTTTCACTCAAGTCCTGTGCTCCTGAGCAGCTGCTCCAGGTCAGTTCTTCTGGGTTTAAATCAAGATTATTTTTGACAGCTCTGAAATAAATACATTGGAGTAGCTCAATATCCAGGACTGGAGTCATTTTCCCATGGAATTGGTGCCTGTAGGTGATGGCTGAGCACAGGGAGACTAAGAAATCACATCCGTGTCTTCTTCACTCCTTCTGGCCTTGTGGTGGCCCCAAAAAGCAAAATTCCTTTGCAATATGGGGATTTCTAGAGGCACAAATAAAAACATGCACATGAAACATCACAGCCATGTTTTACAGGCTCTGTACAAAGTGGACACAATGAAATTTTTCAGCTTTATTTGGGTTTTAAGAGAAATCTGGCCCCAGCTTCTGAAGTGCAATTAAAACTCTTCCAGCCTCCAGCCTGTGTTGTAAACAAAGCCATTAGTGAATTAATTAGATAATGAGGAAAAACCCGCTGCAGTTGTCTTCTGATAGGCTGGCAGATGCAGAGCCCACATATTTATTGGTGGAAATTTCCAACTGTGTCCTATTTCCAATCCCCAAGCCAGCTGCTTTTCCTAGGTAATATGAAGTTTTTTATCAGAAAGGTAATTTTTTTTTTCTCTTGAAAATCTCCTAATTTTTGGGTTTAATTGTCAGGAATTGCCTCAAGCTGGGCCAGGGGAGGCTCAGCTTGGACAGCAGCAGCAATTTCTGCATGCAAAGGGTGCTCAGGCCTTGGCAGGGGCTGCCCAGGGAGCTTTGCAGTGCCCAGCCCTGCAGGTGTCCCAGCAAGGGCTGGAGGTGGCACTCAGTGCTCTGGGCTGGGGACAAGGTGGGCACTGGGCACAGCTGGTACTCCATGGGCTGGCGGGGATTTTCCAGCCTCAGGGATCCTGGGATTCTGTGAATTTTTTAGCTTTTGAAAGACTGGATCTTTTGGTTGCTATGAAGGGGAGCAGATTTGGGGATTTCAGTGAGGAATTTGAGACCAAATACCCAAGGAAATCCCAAACTCACCTGACAACATCACTCTTTCTGAGCTCAGCAAAATCCTGGGCATGGTCTGACCCCTTTTTTCCATCCTTTTCCAACTTTTGCAGCAAATTCCCTTCTCCAGCACATGCAGGATGTTTGCTTTTGTCCCACCACTACAGGGCCATGTTTTAATTTTCCCTGGGTTTTGAATTCCTGTTGAAACTCAAGGCATCCTTTGTAGATGGAAACATCCTTGGGCTTGTCTGTTCATGGAAAGGCTCTTGGCAAAGTTTGGGAAGATGGGATATGTTGGGAGCCCATCAAATCTGGGCAGAGGCTGGACCAGGATATGAGCTGAGCCAGAGATTTCAGCTCCAGTTGGAGGCAGGAATTAAATATAAAAATAGGTTTTTTATTTCAGACAACTCCAAACTGGGAATCAGAACAGGATCATGTATGGGGTTGTTGGAGTTTAGCCCCATTTGATATTTCCAAGATGCCACAGCAGTGAGTTTTTCCATTTCCCACATCCCTTAGCCATAGAATTCTTCTTCCTCTATTTACTTTTCCTTGGAATGATTTTTTTGCATGAAACCCTTGACATTCCTCACTGCTTTTTAGCCTTTTGCTTCCAGACATTTCTGTAAAATCATTTTTCCTTCTGGGCTTTATAGAGAGATGAAATTTTTAGTATATTTGCCCAATTTTTAGTATATTTGCCCAGTATATTTACTCATAAAAAACCTGGTTGTGTTTGTTGTCAAGCAACAAAAATCAGTTTTCAGTGCAGAGATCAGGATGTGGAGTTAAAGGGGTTTAGCACAGTTGAGTATTTGATTAACAATTGGTAAATTTGCTTTTTTGAGTGTCTTCTTAGTGTATAATTTTGCAGATTATTTTTCTGTAGAATCCCATAGTGTTCTAATTGGGATTGGAAATTTAGGGCTTTCCCAACCAGTGAAATCTGGATTACTAAAAAAAAAAATAAAGTCTCTGTCATGGACAGTTTCCACCCTGCTGCCCACTTGGAATTAATTTTGAAGGATTCATCCTTCAAAATTCAGCCTACAATGTGTCTTGTAGACTTCACTTTTGCTCCATGGTTTTTCTTCTCATCTTCTCCTAAAATTCCAGAATCCCAGGATAGTTTGGGTTGGAATGGACCTTAAAGCTCCAAAATTCCCCCCCTGCCATGGGCAGGGCCACCTTCCACTATCCCAGGCTGCTCCAAGCCCTGTCCAGCCTGGCCTTGGGCATTTCCAGGGATCCAGGGCAGCCACAACCACCCTGAGCCATGTCTTAGGTGGGGTTTATTTAAGTCTTGACTTATTTTCCAGCCTAACCCAGCACAGTGTGTTCTGTAGCCAACCCTAAATTAATGCTGGGCCTGAGGTAGGGAGTGGAAATCTAATTTGGATATGCAAATTATCATTTCTCTCTAAACTTAGGTGAGGAGAGAGGCTGAATCTGGCCTCAGGAAATGTGGAAAGGCTCCTAAAAATCCTTATGGATCATTTGGGCTGGAAAATCCCTGCCAGCCCATGTAGTGCCAGCTGTGCCCAGTGCCCACCTTGTCCCCAGCCCAGAGCACTGAGTGCCACCTCCAGCCCTTGCTGGGACACCTGCAGGGCTGGGCACTGCAAAGCTCCCTGGGCAGCCCCTGCCAAGGCCTGAGCACCCTTTGCATGCAGAAATTGCTGCTGCTGTCCAAGCTGAGCCTCCCCTGGCCCAGCCTGAAGCCCTTTGCCCTTGTCCTGTCCCTGTTCCCTGGCAGCAGACCCTGACCACCCCTCTGGCTGATTTTGGGGAATTCTCTTCCATCCTGGGAGAAGAGGAATCCCTTCAGGAGGAAGAGCAGGCTGTCCCCTCTTGCTGGGACAGGAGCAGTCCCTCTGTGTGTGCAGCTGCCTGGATTAGGAAAGCTCAGCTTGCAAATGCTGCTCTCAGCAACAGCTGCTGCTATTTTGGTTGGTTCCACCAGATCAAGCTGGGAAACAGGGAAAATGCAGGACCTTGGCAATGGCCAGCAAGCAGGAGCACTTGGAATTCAGCTCCCAGAGTGCTGCTGTTGAGTCAGTTCTTACTCAATGTGGTGGGGAAATAGCCACATTTCAGCAGAGCATGGATTTCTGGCTCCTTCCTATTGGAAGAGTTCCACAGGAAGCAAAATTCCCTTGGATGAGCATCTTTGTTTTGGAGATTCAGAGGGACACAGAGGGGAAACTGTGGTGAGTGGGGAACTCAAAGCTCATCCAGTGCCACCCCATCCCATGGCAGGGACACCTTCCATTGTCCCAGGCTGCTCCAGCCTGGCCTTGGGCACTGCCAGGGATGCAGGGGCAGCCCCAGCTGCTCTGGGCACCCTGTGCCAGGGCCTGCCCACCCTGCCAGGGAACAATTCCTCATTCCCAATGTCCCATCCAGCCCTGCCCTCTGGCAATGGGAAGCCATTCCATGTGTCCTGTCCCTCCATCCTTTGGAAATATCCTGGAATGTTCAGTCACAGAAATAAATCCTTCTCTGGGGGCTTGTTCTGCATCCTGGGAAATATTTATGCAAGTTTCCACTTTCCCAAGTTCAGCTGGGATTGGATCAGCACAGGAATTGCTGGATTTGCAGGCTGTATATCACACACATAGGGATGATTTATAGGGAATACAGGTAGGGAAGGAGGAAGGATAAGAAACACGTAACTCTTTTTTTTCCTCTTTTCCATTGAGCTCTGGGTTTCATCTCTTCAATACCCACTTTCCCAGCCAGCCTGAGACATCACCAAGGTGTAAAACCGTATTTATTTCTGTGTAAGTGTTAAAAACCAGACAAAAATCAGGTCTGGTGTTCTCTGTGTGCCCAGGGAACTGCAGAAGTTTAAAACCATAAAGCACAGGAAGGATTTTGGGGTGGTTCCAACAGGAGGTGCCACCTGTGATCCTATGAAACAGGGATATGGAAAAGCCAGAGGGGCTGCATCTCTCCTTTTTCCCTGCCTTTTCTTTGCCCATAGAATTCCAGAGTGGTAGAAGGGACCTTAAAGCCCATCTCATTCCACCATTCCTCCTGGTGTTTCCATGGGGATCCCATCCCCTCCCTCCTGGTGTTTCCATGGGGATCCCATCCCCTCCCTCCTGATGTTTCCAGGGGGATCCCATCCCTCCCTCCTGGTTTTTCCATGGGAACACAATCCCTCCTGGTGTTTCCCTGGGGATCCCATCCCATCCCATCCCTCCTGGTGTTTATATGGGGATCCCCTCCCTCCTGGTGTTTCCCTGGTGATCCCACCCCCTCCCTCCTGGTGTTTCCCTGGGAATCCCATCCCATCCCTCCTGGTGTTTCCGTGGGAATCCCATCCCATCCCTCCTGGTGTTTCCGTGGGAATCCCATCCCATCCCTCCTGGTGTTTATGTGGGGATCCCATCCCATCCCTCCTGGTGTTTATATGGGGATCCCATCCCAGCCTTCCTGGTGTTTATATGGGGATCCCATCCTTCCTAGTGTTTCCCTGATCCCTGAACCACACCAGAACAAAGCAGGTGGACAAGAAACTGTTCAAGTTCAGGGTGTGTGGCCTGGGAAAAGCCCAGGGGGAATTTTGGATGACACTCCTGGGAACATGGTGGGATTTTTGAGGTGTGTGAGGGCCAGGAGTGGGGACTGAATCATCCTTGAGGGGCTCTTGCAACTCAGCACATTCCATGGTTCTACAAAGGTGCCGTGTCTCATATGCACCCACATTCCTGTCAGCAAAGCAATACAAAACCAGATCTGACATTAAATAAATTCTGATTGCCTGAGTGTTGCCTCCTAACCCTAAAGGCAGCCTGGGTTTCTGACAGGGCTCAGTGACAACCAAGCTGCTTCCCTCTGGCAGAAGCCAAATTCCTACAAGGCCACCCAAACAGAAGTTGCCAGATGGCACCTCGTGCTCCACAGGGGGAAAGCACCTCACTGGAATATTGTTGTGAGCAGCTGCTGGGGGAATTCAGCAGACTTGGAGGCCTGGGAGGTCAACAGCGGGGTTTCTTTGAGAGGGTTGGCCAGGATGGGAAGGCTGGCTGCCTTCCAGCTGGATTTGGGATGGGGACCTGCCCCTCGGGGTGGCTCAGGGTTCAGAAGTTGCCAGGGTTACCCTGAGAGCAAGCAAACAACTCCTGTCAGCCTCAGCTTGGGGAAGCAGGCTAAAAATAGGGGGCAGAGGCTTAAGGTGAGAAGCCAAGCCATGAGCAGGGAGTGCTGCTGGGAAGCCTGGTCTGCTCCTCCTCTGCAGGCATCCCAGCCCTGCAACTCCCAGCCAGAGCCAGCCCAGGTGGGGCGACCTGGAGGAAAAGGGGGCTGGGGAAGGCAGATGTTAACTGGCAACATCTCCTGATCCTGTGGGGGTACCAATTGCTGGGGTTCCAGTTGCTGGTGTCTCTGGGTCTGCATTGAAGGCACTTGAGACAGTAATTAATGTTCAGACTCAGGTGTTTATTATTTCTTATCAGTAAAACAGCCTCACAACCATGAGTTTGGCAGCAAGGCACAAAATGGCAACAATCTCTTGTTCCAAGGGCTTTTAAGACTAAACTGTCCAGTTAAGAGCTGACACCTGGATTATTTTCCTTTTTAACCCAATAACTGATCCCAAAGAGCTGCAATGGGGACTTTTCTGCCCAATGACAAAATGCCACCCAAACCCATGGAGAAGGAGGAAGAAGCAGCATGAAGAAGAAACCCAGGGTGACACCCTGTGCCCTCCATCTTGCTTCCATCCACAACACACTAAAAATCCCAAACCTCAATGTCTCACCCAGTCATCCACCTGCACTGCTCTCTATAATCTATTGCACACTTTTGTGGGTTCCAGCCTATCTTGAAGTCTGGGAAACTTTCTCTATGAATGAGGGTCAGAGTCAGTGCTGCCCTGGGGGTCAGAGAAATATTCCCAGTGCTTTGGGTTTTCACAGACCCCAGAGCAACACCCACATTTGGCTTTTCCCTAACAATTGCAACATTTAGAAAAGGCTTTTTTAGGAGTCAGCCATGCAGTTACAAACCTGGATCATGACTGGAGAGGTGGGAGGAGCTCCTGGGAGGCAGGCCGGTGGGATTGCTGGCAGGGAGGCAGCGCTCCAGCGGAGCTGTGGTCTTTGTGTGACCTTGTCCTGTCCTCCCAGGTGCAGCTGAAGAGCGAGGAGGCCAAGACGTTTGCCATGAAGATCCTGAAGAAGCGGCACATCGTGGACACGCGGCAGCAGGAGCACATCCGCTCCGAGAAGCAGATCATGCAGAGCGCCCACTCCGACTTCATCGTCAGGTACCTGCCCTGCTGGATTTCTGGGGTTCCCCACATGAGGCAGGAGTGATGAATCTGACTCCATGTTCTCAGAAGGCTAATTTATTATTTTATGGTACCATATTATATTAAAGAACACTATACTAAACTGTGACCGTGTTCACAGGGGTCCCAGGATGAGGGAAGAGATGAGGATCTGACTCCATGTTTCAGAAGGCTGATTTATTATTTTATGATATATATTATAGTAAAACTATACTAAAAGAATAGAAGAAAGGATTTCATCAGAAGGCCAGCTAAGAATAGAATAGCAAAGAATGATAACAAAGGCTTGTGTCTTGGACAGAGAGTCTGGGCCAGCTGACTGTGATTGGCCATTAATTAGAAACAACCACATGAGCCCAATCCCAGATGCACCTGTTGCATTCCACAGCAGCAGATAACCATTGGTTACATTTTGTTCCTGAGGCCCCTCAGCTTCTCAGGAGGAAACATCCTAAGGAAAGGATTTCTCATAAAAGATGTCTGTGACACTAAACTATACTAAAGAATACAGAAAGGATATTTACTAAATGCTCAAAAGCTAATAATAAAAACTCATTACTCTTTCCAGAGTCTTGACACAGCTTTACTGTGATTGGCCAAAGAGTCAAAACAATTCCCATGAAACCAATGTAACAAACACCAGTTGGATAAACAATCTCCAAACACGTTCCACATGTGAGCACAACAAAGGAGAAGCAAATGAAATAAGAATTTTTTTCCTTTTTCTCTGAGGCTTCTCAGCTTCCCAGGAGAAAATCCTGGGCAGAGAGATTTTTCCAGAAAATATGACTGCCACATTCCCCACTGCTCCAGTGGGCCAGGGAGCCCCACAGGGATCAGCCATGGCAGGGAAAAGTCTTCAGCTCCCTCCTGCAAGGGAATGGAGGTGTGGAACAGGAGGAAGGTGCTGGGCAGAGCTCGCTGGTGCTGCCAGATGATCCATGTGGAATCCCAGGGTGATTTGGGTTGGAAGGGACCTTAAATCCCATCCATTCCCACCTCTGCCATGGCAGGGACACCTTCCCCTGTCCCAGGCTGCTCCAGCCTGGCCTTGGGCACTGCCAGGGATGCAGGGGCAGCCCCAGCTGCTCTGGGCACCCTGTGCAGGGAACAATTCCTCATTCCCAATGTCCCATCCAGCCCTGCCCTCTAGCACTGGGAGCCATTCCCTGTGTCCCCTGACCCAAGTCCATCTCCAGCTCTCTTGGAGCTCCTTTAGGCCCTGTGGGATTTGCAGGGGTCCCCAGGATGAGGTGAGAGATGAGTGAATCTGACTCCATGTTCTCAGAAGGCTAATTTATTATTTTAAGATACTCTATTATATTAAAGAATGCTATACTAAACTATACTAATAGTACAGAAAGGATAATTACAGAAGGTTAAAAGATAATAATGAAAACTCATGACTGACTCCTTGGAGTCTGACACAACTGATGGTGATTGGTCATTAATTAAAAACAATTCACATGGAACCAATCAAACATTGACCAGTTGGCAAACAATATCCAGACCACATTCCAAAGCAGCAAAACAGGGAGAAGCAAATGAGAAAATATTGTTTTTTCTCTGAGGCTTCTCATCTTCCCAGGAGAAGAAATCCTGGTGAAGGGATTTTTCAAGGCACTGGACTCACCATCAAGAATTTATATATACATATACATACATACATATATATATATATATATTTATATATTTATCATGACTTGGCTTTGCCCCTGCTCAAGGTCACTTTTACTTTTCCTTCCCAATTTCTGAGTTTTCCTTCCCAATAAGGGAAGCTGGAAGGCAAGGCTTGATCCTTTGAGCTGATACAATGCCATGACAATGAGCAGCTGTGTCCAGAATTTCTCTTTAGGGAATATTTGACAACTCAAGTTCAGCATGCCTGGACTCCTCACTGGAAAACACATTAAAGCCATCTCCCTGCCCCAAACCTTAGCACATCTCCAGGGAATAAAAGGGGCTTTTTTGGTTGTTTCCACCCTAATAACAACATTCAATCTCAAGCTGCACCAAGGGAAATATAGGTTGGATATTAGGAAAAAGTTTTTTACAGAAAGGGTGATAAAGAACTGGAATGGCTGCCCAGGGAGGTGGTGGAGTCACCATCCCTGGATGTGTTTAAAACCAGCCTGGATGTGGCACTGGGTGCCAGGGTTTAGCTGAGGGGTTGGGGCTGGGTTGGACTCAATGATCTTGGAGGTCTCTTCCAACCCAGTGATTCTGTGAATTCTATGGATTCTGTGAATTCCCTAGATTTTCAAGGATTGTGACTACAGAAAGGGGATTCTTCCAATGCTGTAAGTCAGGATGGAGCTGTGGGTGCTGAGGATCCCTGAAGCCACCTTGAAGGGCATCCAAGCCAAGGCTGCTTCATCCCACCCTCAGAGATCCCTGGGAAACTCCTCGGCCTTAGGAGATCAGCCCTGCTCCCAGAAATTGCTCAGGAGATGCAAACAAACCCAGGGTGAAACCAAAGCCCTGGGATGAATCCAGAGGGAAGCACGTGGCCAGGCTGGGGCACTCAGGGGGTGTTTCCTTCCCAGGCTCATCCCTGGGATTCCCCATGGCTTCTGCTGTGATTCATGGGTGATCACTGGAGCCTGACACTGCCCGGCTGCCGTTCCCTTCAGGATGTGCTCCTGGATCCTGAAACATTCCCTGTAGCCCAGCCCAGAGCCAAATATTCCCATTTGGGAATTCCATTCCAGCCTCAGGATTTTTGGAAGGCTGAGCTGTTTTGGGATGAGAGGGGAAGTGCAGGGCCAGCCAAGCCATCATTCCCAGAAATATCCACTCCTAAATAGAACCTAAGCCTCCAAACATTTCTTAATGGAGCCAGTGATATTCATGGCTGATAAATGAAATTCCCACTCTTCATCCTTCAGCACGGAAGCAGAACAAGGATGTTTTAACTGTGCATCTTCTCCTTCCATATCCTGCAGTGTTTCCCACCTTTTGCAGCAACAACCATCCCTGAATTATATTTAATATCCCATGGAAACCCTGCTCTGGGAAGGGACTTTACAAGTCACAAGTCCAACCTTTTGCTATTGCTAGAAAATATTTGATTTATCAAACTCTTGCCCATCCATGGGGATTTGAAGTTTTCCTATAGTATCTATCCTAAAATTATTCAACTTATTTATTGTTTATTCAATAACTTGTTTATTGAATTTCTTGGACCAGCTGGGATAATTTTTTGGGGGGTGCAAAGGGCAGAAATTTGAATATTTCCTAGATTAATTCAGTTTTGAACTGATAGATGAAAGGTGGGTTTAAAATAATCTCAGAGCAAGGACACAACCTCTGGGATGTTAGAATGGGAAAGACAAAATTCCTGATGAATTGGGTCGTTTTCTTAATTCATTGTGTTTGTTAAAAACTCTTTGAAGAATAATTTGGTTTGGTTATTAAAATGAATTAAACCAGGCAAAAGGAGCAGGAGAGGCCAAGTGGCACTAAATAAAATGGACTTTTATATAAACTGAAACTCAAACAGAACAAAATGCTCTGGCTTGGATCAGGTGCCAAACAAGTGCAAATATTTCAAGGAATAAAGAAATAAATAAAGGAGTTACTCAAATATTCTGTCATTTAAACTTAGGAAATAATGTCATTTCATGTGTCTAAACTTTATGCTTCCATGATAGCTGATAAATAATATTTGATTTTTTTTAATCTGTGCATTTTAGGCCAGATTTAATGCCCATAAAATTTTCAGCAGGGCTGCCTTAATTAGGGAAAGTACTTCAGTACTTGGTAATTTAAATTACCAAGCAATTAAAAACATGAAATTACAATTTGGATTCTTTAAGTTTTCTGTAAACTTTAATAGTGATTAAATGTGTATTAAGATAAATTATATTTTGTCCAAGTGGCAAGAAATAAATGGGGGGATTTTTATTAAAACCATCAATTATAGCATTATTTAATGGTCAGTTATAACTGACCATTGGTGTTATATAAATAGAAATTGATGTCATCCAAAGGAACCAAATCCTGCAGTGTTTTCCTGCTGATCCATTACACAGCTCTGTCAAAATAATAACTGAGATTAGCAGGGAAGTGCTGGAATCTGCAAAACCCACCTGGTTTCATTTCCATCATGTGGTGGCAGCTGTTGAATTTGTAACTCCTGGAATTTTTAACGCCTGGAATTTTTAACTCCTGGAATTTTTAACGCCTGGAATTTTTAACTCATGAATTTTTAACTCTTGAAAACTGCCAGGAATGCAGGAATTGCACCAGGAGTCGCCCTCAGCATTCCTTTCTGCTGCAGAAATTGTTAAATCTATTATCCAAAAGTTACAAATTAATTACAAAAAATTAATTACTTAATTAATGACCAAAAAATTTACAAAAAAATTAAAATTACTGTCCAAACTACCTGCAAAGAAACCTTTCCTGTATCCACACCCTGCTGGAAGCCTGGGTGGATAAAGCCACACATGGAATAGGAAGTACAAAAGCAGCTGAATATTAAAACCAATTAAAAAAAAGCTCTGTTTTTTTTTCACCATAGTTATTTAATATTATTAAACACATCTATAAATCCAATTAATGTAATATCATTAGAAAATCCTGTTGAGCACAGAGCATGGGTTTTGGAGCACAGTCGAGAACTCGAGGATGGGTTCACAAAGCCCAGCCCATCCCATCCCCTGAGGCAGTTTTTCCTCCACATTCCTTCCTGGGAGGAAGAGGAAGAGCACTTCAAGCTCTCTAAACTGTGTCAAACCAGCGAGTTTAGTGCTTAGATAATGGATTTATTTGTGATTTTCTGGTTGCCACCCTCAGGCTCTACAGGACATTCAAGGACAGCAAGTACCTGTACATGCTGATGGAGGCCTGCCTGGGGGGAGAGCTCTGGACAATTCTCAGGGACAGGTGAGCTGGGGCTTGTCCTGCACTGTGAGATGTTTTACATGTCACAATTCCAGCTGGAAGGCTTGGGAGGGACCTTAAAGCCCACCCAGTGCCACCCCTGCCATGGCAGGGACACCTTCCACTGTCCCAGCTGCTCCAGCCTGGCCTTGGGCACTGCCAGGGATCCAGGGGCAGCCCCAGCTGCTCTGGGAATTCCATTCCAACCCCTCCCCATCCTGCCAGGGAACAATTCCCAATTCCCAATGTCCCATCCATCCCTGCCCTCTGTCATTTTGAAGCCATTCCCTGTGTCCTGTCCCTCCATCCCTTGTCCCCAGTCCCTCTCCAGCTCTCCTGGAGCCCCTTTAGGCCCTGGCAGGGGCTCTGAGCTCTCCCTGGAGCCTTCTCCTCTCCAGGTGAGCACCCCCAGCTCTCCCAGCCTGGCTCCAGCCCTGGAGCAGCTCCATGACCTCCCCTGGATTCACCCCAGCAGCTCCAGGTCCTTTTGATGTCACAGTTTTTAAATCACAATTTCCCATCTCATTTTTAAATCACATTTTCCCACCCCTGTGTTTGCAGCCCTCCCTCTGTGAGTCTGAATCTCAACTCTCAGCTCTGCCACACGGACACTGCTAAATAATATCCATAAATATTTCCTGGGATTTATGGCCCAGCCAGGACTGAGAGCAATGAGCAGGGGGAAATTGAGAGCTGTGCAGGGTCTGCTGGCCCAGAAATCCCATATTACACCAGGGCTGCTGATTCAAGTGGGAATCAGAATCCACACTCTGCCAGGAGCACTGTTCTATCAGGATGCAGCAATGACATGGAAAAAAATGAGTTAGGAAAGCATGCATGTCCAAAACCCCACAGTCCCTGCCTTGGAAGGGGTCACCTTGGAGTGTTTGGGGCTCCTGGGTACATGTGGGATGTGCCCACAGAGCAGGAAAAAAAGCAGGGAATTGTAATTCTGGAATAGCCTCATCTCTGGAACAGAATTCCATTAAATTTGGAAAGACTGGTCAGGAAGACTAAATTGTCTTTTAATTCCCCATAACTATTTTTCCTCTAGTTCTTCCTTTTGCCAACAGCATTTTTCTCACTGAAAGGGGAACTGGAGCAAAGTTAGAAGGTGCTGGGTGGGATTTTTCCTGATTTTTTTTTTTTGTCAGAGCCTGATAATTCCATCTTTAATTCTCTGGGATTTAAACTGAGGTTCTGCTGCCATCTAGCTTAGACACCCTCTGGTCTGAGCCAGCCCTCAGCAGGCAGGAGGATGAGGTTTTCTTTGGAAAACTTCAGAAACAAGGATCCAAAGGTGCAGTTTGGGATTTGCATTAACTCTTCAAATCCCCACAGCCTTGAATTTTCTGCCTTTTGTCTCAGTTAGGAACATTAATACAGAACTTATCTGCACTCCTCAAAGGAGTTTTAGCACTCAAACCCCAAAGTTGTAATTAGAAAAAAAATCTTTTTGCTTACAGGACAAGGATTTTAAAGTTTTATTTCTAAATTATAGAATAAACCTTAAAATAGCTTCAGATATTGGAGGCAAAGAGGCTTCTTCAAAAATGGAAATTTAACTAGATTATAGAAATATAGAGATATAAAATTGAATATATATAGAGAGAGAGAGATAAAAGTGAGAGATATTTTATATATAGGGATATAAAGTGAATATATATATAGATATAAAAGCGAGATATATTTTATATATAGAGATTTTATATATAGAGATATATAGAGAGAGATATTTTATATAAAGAGATAGCAAAGAGGCTTCTTCAAAAATGGAAATTTAACTAGATTATAGAAAGATAGAGATATAAAATTGAATATATATATATATATATAGAGAGAGAGATAAAAGTGAGATATATTTTATATAGAGAGACATAAAAGTGAATATATATATATATAGAGAGAGAGATATAAAAGTGAGATATATTTTATAGAGAGAGATATAAAAGTGAGTTTAGCACCAGGAACTTTCCCAGTGTTAGAAAGTGATTTTACTGCAGAAATCAAAGTTTTAACAGCAGAATGAATTCCATGGGGAAGGAAACCACTTCCCAAGGATTCATCTAATGCCTTTATCCCCTTTTCCCTCCCTTTCTCCTTCCCACAGGGGTTCATTCGAGGATTCCACCACCAGGTTCTACACGGCGTGCGTGGTGGAAGCCTTTGCCTACTTGCATTCCAAAGGGATCATTTATAGGGACCTCAAGCCAGAGAACCTCATCCTGGATCACCGAGGTTATGCCAAGCTGGTGAGTGCCCAGAAAAATCCCCCCAGCTTTGACCAGAAAGGGTGAGGAGCAAAGTCCTCCCACAGGGTCCATCAGGGGATGCTGAGAGGAGATCAGGGCAAGGTGGTGTCATCACCACTGGGATGTTTTCCTGACTTCCAGCAGGGCTCAGGGCATGGCTGAGCTGAGAAATGCTGACTGTGAGGTCACAGCCTCATGCTGGCCCAAGGGAAATATAGGTTGGATATCAGGACAAAGTTTTTTACAGAAAGGGTGATAAAGTTCTGGAATGGCTGCCCAGGGAGGTGGTGGAATCACCACCCCTGGATGTGTTTAAAACCAGCCTGGATGTGGCACTGGGTGCCAGGGTTTAGCTGAGGGGTTGGGGCTGGGATGGACTCAATGATCTTGGAGGTCTCTTCCAACCCAGTGGGTCTGTGAATTCTCTGAATTCTGTGGTTCTGGCTTGGGATTCAGGTCCATGCTCCTGGAATGCAGAGAAAAGAGCATCAGGAGAAATCCACCTGGCTGTCCTGGGCAAAAAATAACCCCAGAACTCAGGAAAGGCACCCTGCTTTTTAGGGGTACCCCAAATGGCCTGGTGAGGGCATGGAGAGGGGCAGGAGAGATGAAATAGTTCCCTTGGTGGGAGGTGCTGCAGGATGTGGGCCCTTGGAAGCCACCAGTGAAGGACAGGAGCCCTAAAAGGAGCTGGTCCAGGAGGGGCTGATGGCCCCAGGGGGTCACGAGGGGCCAAGGGCTCTGTGTCTTGGTCTGGGGCTCTTTGGGGACAGTAGCTCAGGCCATCATCACAGCCTGGTGGCAGCCTCCACATGTCACCTCCTGAATGACACTGGAATTTACCCTCTGGGGCATTTCCCTGAGCCTGGAGCTCCTCTGAGGTAGAGGAGGATGAGGTGCAGGACTGTCCTTCTCCCACCCCAGGAGCATCTGGGATGGGTCTGTGCTGGTCCCTGAGCAGCCCCCAGCTCCTCAGGTGTGTCCCTGAGTGTCCCTGTGACCCTGTGTGTTCCTGACCAGCCCCAGAGGACTCCAATTCCCAGCATAATCTGATTTTCCATGCTTGACACTGCTCTAGGGCCACAGGGGGGCTGGTGGTGAGCCCAGCACATCCCAACAGCCAAACAGGGAGGACACTTGTGCTGCTTCACTCCTGATGTTGGGAGAGGAAACCAAACTGGGTAGGAGGTGCCTAAATCACAGGATCCTGGAATGGTTTGGGTGGGAAGGGACCTTAAAACCCATCTCATTTCAAAAAAAAAAAAAAAAAGGTCATGTCATGGACAGTTTCCACCCTGCTGCCCACTTGGAATTAATTCTGAAGGATTCATCCTTCAAAATTCAGCCTACAGTGTGTCTTGTAGACTTCACTTTTACTCCATTATTTTTCTTTCCATCTTCTCCTAAAATCCCAGAATCCCAAGATGGTTTAGGTTGGAACGGACTTTAAAGCTCCAAAATTCCACCCCTACCATGGGCAGGGACACCTTCCACTGTCCCAGGCTGCTCCAGCCTGGCCTTGGGCACTGCCAGGGATGCAGGGGCAGCCCCAGCTGCTCTGGGCACCCTGTGCCAGGGCCTGCCCACCCTGCCAGGGAACAATTCCTCATTCCCAATATCCCACCCAGCCCTGCCCTCTCACAGCTTAACACCATTCCTTGCCCATGTTAATTTAAATTTAAAAGAAAAAAAAGCAAAATAAATCAATCTGCCCTGTGAGTGACATCAATCCCAACCCCCAAGAAACCCTTGGTGCTGGTGTTTGCTTCCCTCATGGGAATTTTCCCAAGGATAAATCAGCAAAAAGGTCACTGTGGTTCCCTGGTCCTGGAACGACCCTCGGTGCTTTAATTGGGAGAAAATTCCCATGAGGAATCCTCCTTTCTGCCTTGCTTCACTTCAAGAGGAGCAGAGCCCAGGGCTGACATTCCCTCTGATGCCCTGCCCTGACTCTCTCCTGCCCCTTCCCCCAGGTCGATTTTGGCTTTGCAAAGAAAATAGGATTTGGAAAGAAAACATGGACTTTTTGTGGCACCCCGGAGTACGTAGCCCCCGAGATCATCCTGAACAAAGGTCATGACATTTCAGCAGACTACTGGTCCCTGGGAATCCTGATGTATGAGCTCCTGACTGGCAGGTATGGGCATTGAAATTCATCCCAAGATTTCTGCTCTTCTCACCCTGATGAGGCCAGGGCAGGGGCAGGGCTGGGCCAGGGAACTCCACGGTGGCTTTTGCACTCAAATCGTCTTTTTTTGGCTCTAAGTGGGCTGGACATGATGGGAAAAGAGGAAGGGTTTGGCTCTGAATGGTCTGGAAATGATGGGAAAAGGGGAAGGGTTTGGCCCTGAAGGGTCTGGAAATGGTGGGAAAAGGGGAAGAGTTTGGCCCTGAAGGGTCTGGAAATGGTGGGGAAAGGGGAAGAGTTTGGCCCTGAATGATGGGAAAAGGGGAAGAGTTTGCACTCAGCTCTGGAGGTTTGATCATGAATGGTCTGGAAATGGTGGGAAAAGGGGAAGGATTTGGCCCTGAAGGGTTTGGAAATGGTGGGAAAAGAGGAAGGGTTTGGTCCTGAATGGTCTGGAAATGGTGGGAAAAGAAGAAGGGTTTGGCCTCAAATGGTCTGAAAATGATAGGAAAAGGGGAAGGTTTGGCCCTGAATGATGGGAAAAGGGGAAGGGTTTGACCCTGAATGGTCTGGAAATGGTGGGGAAAGGAGAAGGATTTGGCCCTGAATGATGGGAAAAGGGGAAGAGTTTGCACTCAGCTCTGGAGGTTTGATCCTGAAGGGTCTGGAAATGGTGGGAAAAGGGGAAGGATTTGGCCCTGAAGTGTCTGGAAAGGATGGGAAAAGGGGAAGGATTTGGCCCTGAAGAGTTTGGAAATGATGGGAAAAGAGGAAGGGTTTGGTCCTGAATAGTCTGGAAAAGGTGGGAAAAGGGGAAGGTTTTGGCCCTGAATAGTCTGGAAATGGTGGGAAAAGAAGAATGGTTTGGCCCTGAAGGGTCTGGAAATGGTGGGAAAAGGAGAAGAGTTTAGCCCTGAAGGGTCTGGAAATGATGGGAAAGGGGAAGGGTTTGGCCCTGAAGTGTCTGGAAATGGTGGGGAAAGGAGAAGGGTTTGGCCCTGAATGATGGGAAAAGGGGAAGAGTTTGCACTCAGCTCTGGAGGTTTGATCCTGAAGGGTCTGGAAATGGTGGGAAAAGAGGAAGGATTTGGCCCTGAAGTGTCTGGAAATGATGGGAAAAGGGGAAGGATTTGGCCCTGAAGAGTTTGGAAATGATGGGAAAAGAGGAAGGGTTTGGTCCTGAATGGTCTGGAAAAGGTGGGAAAAGAAGAATGGTTTGGCCCTGAAGGGTCTGGAAATGGTGGGAAAAGGAGAAGAGTTTAGCCCTGAAGGGTCTGGAAATGGTGGGAAAAGAGGAAGAGTTTGGTCCTGAATGGTCTGGAAATGGTAGGAAAAGAAGAAGGATTTGGCCTCGAATGGTCTGAAAATGATAGGAAAAGGGGAAGGTTTGGCCCTGAATGATGGGAAAAGGGGAAGGGTTTGACCCTGAATGGTCTGGAAATGGTGGGAAAAGAAGAAGGGTTTGGCCCTGGAGGGCCTGGAAATCATGGGAAAAGAGGAAGAGTTTGGCCCTGAAGGGTTTGGAAATTATGGGAAAAGGGGAAGGGTTTGGCTCTGAATGATGGGAAAAAGGGGAAGGGTTTGGCCTTGAAGGGTCTGGAAATGGTGGGAAAAGGGGAAGGGTTTGCACTCAGCTCTGGAGGTTTGATCCTGAAGGGTCTGGAAATTGTGAGAAAAGGGGAAGGATTTGGCCCTGAAAGGTTTGGAAATTATGGGAAAAGAGGATGAGTTTGGTCCTGAATGGTCTGGAAATGGTGGGAAAAGAAGAAGGGTTTGGCCTCGAATGGTCTGAAAATGATAGGAAAAGGGGAAGGTTTGGCCCTGAAGGGTCAGGAAATGGTGGGAAAAGGGGAAGGGTTTGCACTGAGCTGGGGAGATTCCTCACTGCTGGAAAGGAGCAGGCAGATTGGGCACCATCCATCCCTTCCCATATTTAATTTGGGATATCACTGCTGCTCTTGGCTTCCTGGAGCTCCCTCACCTCACCCCCAGGAGATCCATCCCCTCCACCTGCCCATCCTTCACACACAGCCCCCCATCCATGGAAAGCCAATTAACCCCCACTGGAATCAGGAATCACACAAAGATAAGCCAGGGAATGCTGCTCAGAGCCTCCTGCCTCGGGCTGCTGGGATGCAGCTGCCATGGGAAGAAGAGGTTTAGCATGGAAAACTTCTTTTTGGTGCTTCCCTGAATTCCTTGAGAAATGGTTAGGATCGTGGGAAGCAAAGCATTCCTGGTTGACATCTACCTTTTTTCATCTGGGTTTATTTTATTAGACTTCAATGCTGTTTTAAAGACAAATTTTTATGAAAGACAAGTTTTTAATCTTTTTTTTTGTTCCCTGTGCCCTCTGAAGTCCCCCTTTCTCAGGCCCAGACCCCATGAAGACCTATAACATCATATTAAGGGGAATAGACATGATTGAATTTCCAAAGAAGATTGCCAAAAATGCTGCTAACTTAATTAAAAAACTATGCAGGTAAGTGGATGTAAGAATAAAACAAAAAGCCTTGACGTTGTTTGCAAAGAAATGAGCTGGGCAGAGGGATTAAGGATTTGTTCTTCCTTTTACAGGGACAATCCATCAGAAAGATTAGGGAACTTGAAAAATGGAGTGAAAGATATCCAAAAGCACAAGTAAGTCTCTTCTCCAGCAGCCAACTCCAGAAAGAGGCGTTTCAAACACCTCAATTTTCCCCTAAAAGCCATTTCCTATCCATCATGTAAATTCATCTTCCCTTTTGGTCCTGTGGTAGGGGTTACATGAAGTCTTAGGAGTTTTTTGGGATAAGAACAGGTGAGAGAACCATTCCAGGAAGAATTTCTCTCATCCATCTGTGCTGGATCATCTCTTCTCCCATCCCCAGAGCAGCAGGAATGGATTGGATGGATATTTTTGTGGGAAGGCTCAGGGTTCATCCACCCACCTTGAGCAAACCTGAGGAAAACCATGAGTGGGGCATCCTTGAGCATGAAGCTGGGAGTTAACCCAATTCCACAGGGAAAAAAGGTCTCCTGTGGGATGGATCCACCCTCTGGAAGGGAAGGAGCAGCTTCCAGGACACCTGCAGCAAGGAATGGTTCCCATCTGAGCGTTGGCAATTTCCACTTGGGTGGTGTCACCACGGGGTCGCTGCACACTCTTCCTTCTTGGTCCCCAAAAAAGATGACAGGAAAAATTGCAAAGGGATTTGAAGGCAAAGTCTGTGGGGCATGAAACCTGTTGTTGAAGCAATTTTCTGTTCTTTTTGTGCTACACCTGTCTAACTGTTGGATTCTTCCCTCCCTTCAGATGGTTTGAAGGCTTTAACTGGGAAGGGTTACGGAAAGGGACACTGACACCTCCCATAATCCCAAGTGTAAGTTTTCCTACCGTTGTTTTCTCCTCCATGGGCAATTCCTGTGATGCTGTGAGCTTTGGGCAGTGTGGGCAGTGGTACACTGGGTTAAGTGGGAAAATTGTGCTTTATTTCTTCTGGAGATGCTTGGAAAATAACTTTAGGCACATTCCCAGCTAAGCTTGCTCTCCAGGCAAGCTCTTCCCTGGGAAGGCAGTGTGAGGAGGGCACAGCCATGGAGAAATCCCCTTTGCAGCAGGGGATTGAGGCAGGATCACCCACTCCAGCACATTTTCCCCTCTCTCACCTGCTCCACTTGTTTCTGCATCTCCTTTTCCCCTTCCCATGGAGAGCTGCCCCTTCCACCCCTTCTTTTAGCTGCGTCCTCTCCCTTTCTCCTTTATTCTCATTTCCTTTGCAAAGGCAAGTGGGATTTGGATGCCATCTTCCTTTTCTTTCACATTACCCTTCCCTTCTGTGCTGTCTTTTGTGCCCCTCTTTGCCCTGCATCCATGTCCTACATGAAAAGCTGTTGATGTTTAACCGGGAGCGGGCGCGGAGGGACAGCTCCGCTCGTTTTCCTTTGCAGCAAAGCCCTTCCTTTGATGTCTTTGTGAGCTCCCTGCCCTCAAAGCCCCGCTGCAAAGGGAAACCAAACAGGATTAGCTGACAGAAATTACCTCAGCCCCTTCTGTCCTGCAGCCTCCCCTCCTTGTTCCAGCTTAATCCCTCGGGATCACCGGGAGAATGCCATTAATGGGGGTTTAATTGCACCCCATTGCTCCATCCTGCAGCTCCTGCAGCAGGGGCAGGCCCAGCTCAGGGGCTGAGTCTGCCATCCCAAAGTTTGCTTAGGGAAAGAGCAGGAGGGTTTCCCATCCCCCCTTTTTGTCCTGTGGATGCAGGAGCTGCTGGAGTCAATGGGGAAAGCAGGACTTGCCAAATCCCTCCAATAACAACTCAGAAATGTTTTAGAGATCAAAGCTGGGTTTGGTTGGGGTTTTTTCTTTCAAGCTCAAGCTGTGAGCCTGGTTTGGGTTGGAAGGGGCCTTTGAGATCATCCAGTTCCATCACCTTCCATGGCATCTTCCACTTCCACTACCCCAGGTTGCTCCAAGCCCTGTCCAGCCTGGCCTTGGCCCATTTTTAATGACTATTCATTCATCAGCAAGATCACATTTCAAGTCAGGCAATAAAGTCAAGTTTCCCTAATCTTTTCCCTTCCCCTTCTTGGTTTGCTTAGGGAAAGAGCAGGAGGGTTTCCCATCCTCCCTTTTTTTGCCCTGTGGGATGCAGGAGCTGCTGGAGTCAGTGGGGAAAGCAGGACTTGGCAAATCTCTCCCATAACAACTCAGAAATGTTTTAGAGATCAAAGCTGGGTTTGGTTGGGGTTTTTTCTTTCAAGCTCAAGCTATGAGCCTGGTTTGGGTTGGAAGGGGCCTTTGAGATCATCCAGTTCCATCACCTTCCATGGCATCTTCCACTTCCACTACCCCAGGTTGCTCCAAGCCCTGTCCAGCCTGGCCTTGGCCTATTTTTAATGCCTATTCATTCATCAGCAAGATCACATTTCAAGTCAGGCAATAAAGTCAAGTTTCCCTAATCTTTTCCCTTCCCCTTCTTGGTTTGCTTAGGGGAAGAGCAGGAGGGTTTCCCATCCTCCCTTCTTTGCCCTGTGGGATGCAGGAGCTGCTGGAGTCAATGGGGAAAGCAGGACTTGCCAAATCCCTCCAATAACAACTCAGAAATGTTTTAGAGATCAAAGCTGGGTTTGGTTGGGTTTTTTTTTTTTTTCTCTCAAGCTCAAGCTGTGATCCTGGGAGGGACCTTTGTGATCATCCAGTTCCATCACCTTCCATGGCATCTTCCACTGTCTTCCACTACCCCAGGTTGCTCCAAGCCCTGTCCAGCCTGGCCTTGGCCTATTTTTAATGCCTGTTCATTCATCAGAAGGATCACATTTCATGTCAGGCAATAAAGTCACGTTTGCTCCTTCACATCCAGCTGCAATTCCTGCTTTAGGGAAGCAGGATGTCCATGTAGCCTGAAAAAAAACCCAGGATGTCTGCCAAACTGGTTTTGGTGGGTTTTTACTTTAGTAGGAGCATTTCCAATCCTGCTCTTACCCCACATAGCAAGGCTGACTGGAATAGGGGGAGCATCCTTCCCTCTTCCAGGACAGCTCCAGGCTGGCCCTAATCCTGGTTCAACCCAGCTCATCCTTTCCCTGAGCTCTTGGGAGTAGTAGCTCCTCCAGACCTACTCCTGAGATCCTCTCCAAAGCCATGAACTGTGAGTTTTGTCAACCCCAGAGCTGTCAATCCTACTCCAGCTCATTTTCCACAAGTTTTTTTGGCAAAGTCTCAGCTGCCACTCTGAAAAGGGACCCAAAATACAGCTCTGGTGGCAGACATCCACTTTCCCTTCAATCCACCTCTCCTTGTTAGCTGGGAAAGAGCCAGCAGGAGCAAACATACAGATCAGTTCCTTTTTCTTTGAAAAATAAAAGGCTTTTTCCAGCTCTTTAACTCTCATTTCTTACGTGGCTCTGCCAGTGAGGCAATCAAAGCTCTTGTTCCATGGGATTTTTGGAAAGATCCCAATTTACAACCTGCTGCTAGGACACTGCTGAGCCTTGATACCACAGCTGGAATCTGTGATTTTACCTCTCCTTAAAAGCTCAGGACTCTGCCAAAGATGAGCTGAGCAAGCAAAGGGTGAAGGAGCCCCAACAGAGTCAACAGATCCAGATAACCTGAAAGAAATTAAGATTTTGTAGGGTGGGGGTTTTGTTCCAAAATGAGTCAGGTATTCCACAATCCTGATTTGCCCCAAAAAGTGTTCAGCAGCAGGAAAATGCTGATGCAGTTGGGCAGCACATTGAATGTGGAGCTGGAGTTGGAACTCCTGTCTTTTCCCAAGGCTTGCAGCAGCATCCAACATCAAATGGGAATCTCAGGAGGGTTAACAAGGCCCAGTGGGTTGGGGCAACCCCTGAGATCAATCCAGGTTGGATACTGGGAAAAAAATACTCCTGTGGGCGAAAATATTCCTGTGAGGGTGGGCAGGCCCTGGCACAGGGTGCCCAGAGCAGCTGGGGCTGCCCCTGCATCCCTGGCAGTGCCCAAGGTTGGACTTTGGGGCTTGGAGAAACCTGGGACAGTGGAAGGTGTGGGAGGGTGGGACTGGATGGGACTTTAAGGTCCCTTCCTACCCAAACCATTCCAGAATTCTGGGATTTAATGCTTGTCAGTTGTCCCCTGGCTCAGGCTCTTCCCAAATGAAATGACTGAAAACAGCAGCAAGTGTTTTCCTGCTCTGGCTAAAGCTTAAAGTATTAAATTTCAAGTAAGACTCTCATTGTTTTGGGCTGGAGAGTTGCTGGTTTCCTCTTAAATTGTTTAATTTTTTTTATTGTCTTGACTTTATCAAGTCCTCACTGTAAGAAAGTTTCCCTCGCTGTCACAAAGCAGGAAAACCATAAATTCTGTAGCCAGGATAGATCTCAAATGTCATTATTTCCAAAAAAAAGAAATGGGCTGGGCCTTCATCCTGGGAAGATGGGTTTCTCTGGAAGGATCCTGAGGCTGAGCAATGTCAGGAAGCTTCGAGGCAGCAGGGCTCAGCATCCTGGATCCATGGATGGGAAATCCTGGGCTCTTTCCCCAAGCCTGTTGTGATAACCTTGTGGCAACGGGTAGGAAAACTCAGGAGAGCTGGGGGAAACCCCTCAGCAAAAAGCTGTGCATGCAGCACTTCCCTGCCTTGCTGGGGATTCTGTGGGATGGAGAGGGAATGCCAGCCCTGGGATGAACATCCCCTTCTCCTTGCTCTTCCCCCCGCAGGTCGCGTCTCCCACGGACACAAGCAACTTTGACAGCTTCCCAGAGGACAGTGACGAGCCACCCCCTGACGACAACTCAGGATGGGACATAGATTTTTAATGTTCTTTCTCTTACCTGCTTCTGCCTTGCTGAGGACAGCTTTTCCTGGGACGTGGCTGCCAGCGGAACGGGAAGACCGGAATCGGGGAGGATTCGTGCTCGGGGTCACCACGATGCCTTGATTGATGCTGCTCCAGTAACTCCAGTGGCATTAGGACTTCTTGCTTAGTGACAATAGTGCTCTCCATGTTTTCTGTTGGAACGTGACCTGGCTTGGGCACGGTGGTCCTGGCACAGAGCCTTGCTCTGGCACAGAACTCCTCTTCTGTGGCCACAGAGATCCTGGCCCGCTCTTGATTAGCAGAGTGACAGATCCGTAGAGTAAGAGGCACTTAAATTCCAGCTGCTTTTTCCCTAGGATCAGTAGTAACTTATGAAGTGCTGCAGCTACTCCAGTGCAGGATTTGGGCTATTCCCACCCTCTGAGCTCCACAGGGCAGCGCTGGAGCCCAGGAGGAGCACGGGCAAAGCGCTCCCGTCAAAGCAGTGGGGAATGTGTCCTTTTCCTTCCCTAGCAGTATTCCTGACGAGACTGAATGTTCCCTTCCCTCTTTGTTTTGGAAACATTTTAGCTCAGCCTGGTCAAACAAAAGCACAACTGCTGCAGATGCTGTCGAGGCAGAGGTTGGGTCGCTTCCCTCACGTGGCAGCACCACCTTTGGGTTTCAGTTCTCCTTTCCCTTGGTACCAACACATGCATGGAAAGAGAAAATCGTGGAATGAATCCACTGTACATCCACTGATCTGTTCTACATCCATTGATCCACTGTACATCCACTGATCTGTTCTACATCCATTGATCCACTGTACATCCACTGATCCATTTCACATCCGTTGATCCATTTCACAGTGCTCCAATCACGGTCCTGAACAAAGCAACAGCAGCCCACCAGTCTGATTAGGTATAAAATTAAGGATAACTTGGATCTTTTTGGGCTCAAAGGGAAAAACATGAGACCTGTGATATCCTCTTGAGGTGCTACATCCATCCCTCACCTGGGAAGAAACCTGTCCCTGACCCATCCTGTCAGGAATATGTAGCAGAGGCTCCGTTCTCCCTTTTGGTGATTCCATGTCTCCATGTCTGCATCTCTTCCATGTTTAAAGAATCTCATTCAAATAGAAATCCTGGCTCTGATGGAACACTGCCAGTAATCCTGATGCCCCTCCAGGCTAAGGAGCTCCACAGGAAAGTCAGTGGAATTCAATGGAAGATCCCTGTGAGGTCTCCAGTGTGCCAGGTCCACGTGACTGTGTTTAACAGGGAGGGCCAAATCCATATGGAAAAAAGAACTAGGGAAAACAATATTATCAGGACATGCTTTTCCCTCACTTCTACTGCTTTTCCTTTGCTGGAATTCCCTCCTCTGGTTTATAGGATGCAGCACAGGGATCCTGTCCTGGGTGCCCATTTGTTGCATACACACAGGACTGAAAGTTTATTCCATTATCCAACAGGAAACATCAGCTTTTGGTCTCTCTGAGAGACCTGACCCCAAAAAATCACAGAATCATGGAATGATGGAATGGTTTGGGTTGGAAGGGACCTTAAAGGTCCTCTCATTCCAGCCCCTGCCATGGGTGGGCAGGTGCTGCCTCCTTTCAATCTCAGCTGCCAAGAGCTGGCCGTGGAAAGATCAAGTCTTGCTGACAAGGACTTTTTCCACATATTACATGGAAAAGGTCTGTTTGAGCAGTAAAAAATTCCTTCCCTGATGCTGAGTCCCAACTCTTTTGCATGTTTTTCATTAAAGGATGTAATCGAAATGGTATTTTGACAGCGTGGGCCGTGTCTGCTGTTCAGCATGAGCTGGGTCGTGTGACACCTTTGAAACCAGTCTGTGGCTCTGGAATTCCCTCTGTTTCCCAAAGGGTGAGGCCACACCTCTGGCACAGTCACTTCTGCTGTTCTTTAACCATTAAAACTTTGTTTGCCTTCAAAATCACAGGGAAAAGGCAGCACCTGCTGGCTTTTCCACCTTTCTCCAAGGGATGGACAGCACTGAGAGCCAAGGCTGAGCACGAGGGCTAAAACATTCACCAGGCATCTTAAACAGGCCTAACAGCCAAATGCTTCCCTCCTCACATCCCCCTGGACTTTCACTCCATGGGGACAGCTTCCTGTAGGAGTTTGTCCCAGGATGGTGACACCTGATGAAATTGGCAGGCAAGGAGGACAAAGCACCACAAGGATTTGGGGATCAACCTGAAAACGTGACAGGAAGGAGGGTCTGAAATGGGCTGAGCAGTTGGGTTTCTTTTTCCTGTCCCTTTTTTTCCTTGTGCCAGGCATGGGAATTGACACCTGCAGCGTGCACTGTGCTGAATCTGAGTTTATTTTGATATCAAACACCTCACTCGACTTCCATGGCCTCTCCTGAGCATTAACACTTGGCATATGTATATGATAAGCCTTCAGTTATAATAATATATTTAAGTTGCTTTATATATATCTCTATATATCCACAACAAGGGATTGCCTCTGTGTTTCCACCTCCTGTCCTTATTTGTTTGTCTCCTTTCCTGATCTATGGGACGACAGCGTTTTTAGGGAAGGGGGAATCGGCTCCCATGTTTCCAGAGGGGGCTTTGAGTGGTTTTGTGGCTTCTCCTGGAGCTGCACTGCCCACAGCAAACTCTTCTTCAACAACAGGACCACGAGCAGATATTTCTGTAAATAGGTATTTTCGTGTCGATGTTTTGTGGGTCACACAGGACTTTCTGTTCTTTTCCAGTTCCATGGCATTATTCCTTCATTTTCTTATTTGTAATGTAATGTTTTTAGGTCGAGGTAGACTTGAATTAATGTCATATTTGTCAGTATGATTAAACTTTCTGTCAGCTGTCCTGTTCACCCACCCGTCCCATAGTTCTAGAACGTCACTGGCTATCTGGCATTGTTGCAAGTGCCTTAAATCCATGGCATCTTATTGAGAAAAAAAAAAAAAAGAGACAAATTTGGTGTTATGCTGCATGACAAAGACAAACACACCTCAAACTGTCGTCCTTTCTTAGCTTGCTGCGTTTTACAGTTCTTTCTGCTACCGATTTCTAAGCCTTTATTATCTGATCTCGATGAATTCCAGAAATGATGACGTCGTTCTCTGATTTCTGTTCAATGTACCAGAGCTGTGTATCTGTTAATGAGATACAGAGTCATTTCTGTGAAATGTATAAATGTGATGTGCGGGTCAAATTAATCTCTGACATCCTAGCAGTCTGTAGACAGGTATTCCTGTTTTGCTAAGCTCTGCAGATCCCACCCATCCGTGCTGTCCCACACAGCCCTCCCTGGGGAATCTCCCACCTGGGAAAAATCCACCCTGGCAGCGTTTTCCTGACCTAAAACCCCGGTGCAAAGCCGAGGCTCCTTTGCACCACTCAACCAAACAGGATCTGTGCTTGGATGAGCCCTGGAAACTCCTCCTGCCTCCCCAGCCCTGACACCGAGACTTGGGCGCTTTTAGGGCTTTCTCAGAAAAAGGGGAAATTCCCATTTGGAGTTGCCTCTCCCCCTGAGTCCCGATTTACGCTTGTTTTACCCCGGCCCTTTGTTTTATACTCTGGTTTTCTCTCCTTCCATGGCAGAGGTTTTGTTTGTCGGGCCGATGTCGGTCACGCCCCGGCCATCGGCCGCTTGCACTCTTTGGATGTTGACTGAGGAACTTTTGGGTTTGTTTATTTTTTTTCTTTTTTTTCATAAACTTCCATGGCTTTTGTTTCGCTCTGTACTCCCCCTGCAGCTGTAATTGCCGAGTGCCTGTTGTATACTTTATAGAGTTGAAATAAAAATAATTACTTTTCAACGACTGTCAGTGGGTTCCTTCCAAAGCAGGAGCTGAGTTTGGGAGAGATCTTCAGGAAGGTGGTGAAATATGGGGTTACAAAAGTTCTGTTCCCACAGTTCCCACACAGAGAAGCTGCCCCTGGATCCCTGGCAGTGCCCAAGGCCAGGTTGGACAGGGCTTGGAGCAGCCTGGGACAGTGGAAGGTGTCCCTGCCCGTGGAAGGTGTCCCTGCCCATGGCAGGGGTGGCACTGGATGGGCTTTGATGTCTTTTCCAACTCAAAATCATTCTATGATTTGCTGATGACACAGAGGTGAGCAAAAGCTGGGAGAAAGGAGCAATAAAACATCCTCTCAGGAGGGGACTAAATGTGGCAAGAGCCCAAGGAGGAGCTGGCAATCGTCACCAATCGTTTTGCTGGATGCAGCAATCGCAGGTCCACGTTAATAATGCAATAAATACCCCAGGGTGACGTGGCCCTCACCTGAAACCGCCAGGGGAACACCGAGATTTCGGGGCGAGGCGTGGCTCTCGTTATTCCAGGCTAAAAATAGGGAGGGCAGGAGGGGTGGCCGGGCTGTGCCGGGGATGTCGCCCGGCCGTGACTCAGCCGCTGCTGACGGCACCTGCCCGCCGTGCTCCCGAAACCTTCCCAGGCAATTATTAGCCCGGCTTGAGCCATTCGGGGCTGGAACGGCTGATAATGGATACCGGGACAGCGATACCGAGACAGCGTTCATTGCAGGAATTGCCGCCTCCGGGATACCCCACCGCGGGGATTTCGGGGGCGCTGCTCCGGCTCTTCGTATTCTCATTTAAACCAAGCAGAGAAAATAAATAACCGGGAGCGCGGGCCAGCCGCCAGGAAAAGCCGGGTTAATTAAGGGGGGTTAATTAACGAGAGTTAATTGGCGGAGCGGGGAGGGGGGAGTGGGGGCGCGATGGCGCGGCGGGGCCGCCAGGGGGCGCCCTGGGGCCGCTCTGCCCCGGTGGGGGGGAATGGAGGGAATGGGGAGGGAAAAATGGGAATGGAGGGGGGGGAAATTGGGAAAGGAGAGGGGGGGGTGACGCCTTTGATCTCCCCGCATCAAAGGGCCCCGAGCTCCCCCCCACCGACGCTGCCTCCTGCCCCGGCTGGGGTCAGGGGAGTAGGGGGAGGACAGCGAGAGTCCCGCCGTGTGTCCCCGTCCCCCCCGCCACCTCCGTGTCCCCG